GCTTTGCTAAGCTTGTTCTAAGTAGGTGCTTTAGACCACTAAGCCATCTCGCCAGCCCCTATATATTTTTTTAGATACAGAGTCTCACCATCTTGCCTGGGCTGGCCCCCAATATCTGCACTTAAGTGATCCTTCTGTCATAGCCCCCCCCCAAGGAGCTACAGTTACAGGCATGAGCCATCACCATTTCTGGTTGTTCAATACTTGAAAGAAAACTGAATAAGGACAAGATATAATGGTATAGATCTGTAATCCTAGCACTCTAGGAGGCTGAGGCAAAAAGATTGTAATTTCAAGCCCGTCCTGGGATATTTAGTGATGTAGCAATATTCTTTTTTTTTTCCTTTGGCGGAACCAGGGATTGAACTCAGATCCTTGCATTTGCCAGTCAAGCGCTTGTCCTACTGAGCCATCTCCCCGGCCCCATGTAGCAATATTCTTGTCTCAAAATAAAATAAAAAGCCAGGTGTGGTGGCCCATGCTTGTAATCCCAGCACTCAGGAAGCTGAGGCAGGAGCATCACTGTGAGTTCAAGACTAACCTGGGCTACAAATACAAAGTGAACTCAAGACCAGCCTGAATGGCATGACGAGACCCTGTCTCAAAAAGATAAAAAAAATTAAAATTGTTTTTAAAAATTTAATAGGGTAGAGGGGCCGGGGAGATGGCTCAGTGGAATAAGTGCTTCCCTGGCAAGCCTGAGTTCAATCCCCAGTTATGCAAAAAAAAAGTAGGGTAAGGATGTAGCACAGCATAAAAGCCCTGAGTTGAATCCTCAGTACCCCCCCCAACACACACACGAGAATGGAGAGTTCCAGACATGATAAGCCCAAACTCCTGCAAGGAGTTTGAACACGAGTTTGACTTGCTAGGCCTGGGCTCCCAAAATCTCACACCCTCTGGTACAAGCTCTGTACTTTCCCAGTGGTGGCCAGCAGGTGGGATGAGTACATACCTCTGAGGGCCAGGGCTCCTCCGCAGCCCCGCCAACATGTCCAGCTCCTGCATGCTGCCACGGCTAACAGAAGCCGTGGAGTTGGCAAGCCGGATGGCACGGCGCTTGTTCCTACGGGGGCAGCAAGATGATAGCAGGCTGCCAGGCCCTAGCGGCTGAGAGGACACAGAGGTGCTTCGGCTGGTGCGGCCACCCAGTGAGACAGCTCCCAGGGCTTCACTGAAGGTTATTTCATCGGTGAATTCATGGCACTGTGGGCAGAAAGGAGGCAGGGTCACAGGGTACTCCATGGGCTCTGATCCTCCCCAGGCCTTTGCTCAGAGTGCTCCTTTCTAGAAGTTGCTCCACCTTCCTTTCCCTTCCCTTGATCATTCTTCAAGGCCCAGCCTCTCCCAGGAAACCCACATGATGTCTACAATTTTATTTCTTTTCTTTTTTTTTTTTTTGGTGGAACCAGGGATTGAACTCAGGCCCTTGCACTTGCCAGGGAAGCACTTATTCCACTGAGCCATCTCCCCGGCCCCTTTATTTCATTTTTTTAAGGAAGAAAAGCTTATTGTATGTCACAGTTTGCAGAGGTTTCAGTCCATAGTTGACAGGGCAATGTGGCAGAGGGGCATTGCACAGAAGAGACTGTTCATGGTGTGACAGACAGAAAGCAGCAAGCCACTACGGGAGGAGGATGAATGGATGGATAGGTGGGCAGATAGATGATGGATAGATAGATAAATAGATAGATAGACTTAGATGTCTACAATTTTCTAAATTTTGTTTGTAGTACTGGGCATCGAGCTTAGGGCCTTGAGCATGCTAAGCACTCTCCAACTGAGGTACAGCCCATTTTTTTTATTTATTGTGTGTGTGTGTGTGTGTGTGTGTGTGTGTGTGGCCAGCTCAGCCCACCAGGGGGCGGGGCTGGCTGGCATGTGGTGCTGGGGGATTGAACCGCGGTCCCTGTGCTTAGCTTGTTCTAAGTAGGTGCTTTAGACCACTGAGCCATCTCGCCAGCCCCCAGCCCATTTTTTTTAAGGTCTTGCTAAGTTGACCAGGCTGGCCTGGAACTTCCAATCCTCCTGCCTCAGCCTCTCAAGTAGTTGGGATTATGGATATGAGCCATAGGGTCAGGCCAGTTTTCATAATTAGCAGCAAGCCTCGTATCCTAGGGAGGGAATGGCTTGGCAGCAAAGGAAACCCCTCCTTCCTGTCGGGCCACCTCTCATTAGACCTCACCGTTGTCTTCTCTAGACAGTGCAACAAATGGTGATGTTGCTGTTCAAAAGCAGAACGGTTCCTGACACATAGTGCCTGTCCATCCCCACTGCTGTTATCCTGGAACAAAAAGAGCAAAAGAAGATCAATACCTTCCCCTCATCCCTGATCATCTCAAACTCCAATCCAAGTCACTACTCACCTCTAGCCCCCCATTCTGCTTGTACTGGAGGAAGGCATTGGTAGTACCACTCTTTGCCAACCGGATCCTTGCCAAGCGCACCTTCTACAGAAAGGGGAAGAAACAGAGGGTCAAAGGAGAGAGCCCAAGATAAACCTATCTCTGAGTGTGAACAATGAGAGGTGCCCAGAGGGAAGCTGCATTTACCTGCTGTGCTCGGCGCTTGTCAGCACGCTGGTTCTGGTGGTAGATGCGGCTAAAGTTGGATACGATGACTGGCACCGGCAGGGCAATGACCAAGACGCCACTGAGTGAGCAGATGGACCCAAAAATCTTGCCAGCAATGGTGCTGGGCACCATGTCACCATAGCTTGGGCATAGGGGAGGTAGGCCACAGTCAGAGAAAGTGACCACCTGCCTGTCAGGTCCCATTCCATCCCACCCAACCCCAACTTGCTCTGTGATCCCAGGCAGGCACTCAACCTCTCAGCCTCAGTTTCCAGCTCTGCACAATGTGGAGAGTGACCTGTCTAGCCAGCAGTGGCAGACAGATGAGAAATGGGGTTGGCCTTCAGGAGCCTCTCCCATCTGCTTCTCCCATCGAAGCCAAGCACTGGGCCATCTGAGTCAACTGGGAATCTATTAATACCCACCAGAGGAGAGGAGGAAATCCTAGGCAGTAAATATAAATTCCTGGAAACAAGGCCAGCCAAGGGGCTCTGCCTCCCAGGGGAGTGTTCTGCTCGCTCTGCCTGCCTCTTTTCCAGGTGGAACCCCTGATTCCCCCTAGGTGAAACCTTGAAACTGTCCTCATATGAAAAATAAAGGGGATACTTGAAACTCTCTGCCTTCCCCCATGGCAGCCTTCTTCCCATGGAGATGGCACAAAGCCAACCTTCCTGACTTTGTTCTCAAAGGGGAAAACGGAGATTCCATAGTTGACTTAGCCAGGATCACACAGCACACTTCTGTTCTAGCCATAGGACCAATCAGATCCCCTCCAGAGAAATACAGCTTCTGTAGTCTTCAGCTTCCAGCCCTTTGATCAGGCTGTGCCCAAGGATAGCTCTTCCTTATTTCTATTTTGACTGATTTTAAGCTTTCAAGACCCTGCTCCAAAGTCTCTCCAACTTGTCCATTTCTGGGTTTCTGATGTGTCATCTCAGATTGTGTTTCAACTATGAGATGGGCAGCCATCCACAACTCACAGGGTGTAGTGAGGACTGATAGGGTAAAGGACATCAGAATACCCAATGCCAATTTACCGATGGGCCTCAATATTTGTTTGTCAATCTAATCCTGAACCTCCAACCAAAATTAATTTCTATGCCTTAGAAACCCCAAATCAATTTTTTCTCTACCTCTGAGAAGGCAGTTCAGTCATTCACTTAAAAGATAGAGTATCAACAGCATACTCCGCTTAATTCCAGTGATAGAGACTTAGAGAATGATAACAGCTCAGCCCTAGACAATATCTTCCTTTTCTGTTTTTTGCATTTTGTTTTGTTTTGTTGAGACAGGGTCTCGCTATGCAGTTCAGGCTTGTCTTGAACTCACTACATAGCCCAGACTGGCCTCAAACTCACAGCAATCTTCCTGCATCAGCCTCCTGAGTGCTGGGATTACAAACATATACTACCATACGCAGTTAGCCAATGGCTTTAAGAGCATAGTCAGGTATGGTGGTGCATTCCTATAATCCCAGCAGTCACGGAGGCTATGGCAGGAGGACTACAAATTCTGAAGCCTGGGCAGTTTAGTGAAACATTTCTCAAAATAAAAAATAAAGAAGGGCTGAGCTGTAGCTCACAGGATGGCCCTGGGTGTGTAGTGTAGCTCCATGCTAGAGCCTAGGTTCCATCCCCAGCACGTCCCCCCCCAATCAAGTTTGATGATTCCATTTGATACTTTCATCTCAACTTTGTTTCTTCTTAGGGACTGGCAGTAAAAAAAATAATAATGCTGAAAAAATATCTTCTGGGAAACATCAAGAAATCACAAAGTAACAGAGGAAGTGCCCCAAACGCAGAGAATTCTAGAAGGTTGGGAGACATAAATCCTTAGAAAGGAAAAGGGTTGATAGAAATTCAGTTACTTATGTATTGATCACTAGAAACTTTCAGTAAATTTGACAACCATGATGTCGTTGAATCCTATCTAGATGATGAAGGAATCATTTCCCATTTTACAGAAGGGGAAACTGAGGCTCTGAGAAAATGTCAATACAGACAGCAGCCAAGACATCCTTGAGCCCAATTCTCCTGACCTGGAAAATAAAGGTAAGTTTTGTTTTTTTTTTCCAGAACTGGGGATTGAACTCAGGCTCTTGTGCTTGCCAGGCAAACACTTATTCTACTGAGCCATCTCCCCAGCCCCAGAGTTAAGTTCAGAGATGGGAAGAATTTGAAAATGAGGTCCAAATCTCTCCATTTTTACTGGTGACCAAACCAAAACTCAAAAAGACCATAAAAGAAAAGAAAACAAAACAAAACAATAAAAGACCATGATACAGTGTGTGCTCGGCATGTGCGAGGCCCTGGGTTGAATTCTCAGTACCACAGAGAAACAAACAAACAAACAAACAAACAAACAAAAAAGCCAGGCATGGAGGCACACACCTGTAATTCCAGCATTCAGGAGGCTGAAGCAGGAGAATCGCAGAAAGTTCGAAGCCAGCCTGGGCTACACTGGGAGTTCAAAACCAGCCTAAACTATATAGTGAGACCCTCATCACAAAGAAGGGGGGGGCAGGAGCGTGTAAAGAGATCATTCACCTACCCTTCCTAATTTTACAGAAAGGGTAAGTGTAATAGATGATCTTGCAGTCCCCAACACGGGGTCTGCACTCACCCAAGTGTGGTCATGGTGACAATGGTGTACCAGAAGGCAGCAGGGATGCTCGTAAAGTTAGTCTTGCTGGTGCCCTTCTCAGCATAGAACATGACAGTGGCAAAGATGATGATGGCCATGGTGAGGGAAAAGAGAAGAAAGCCCAGCTCAGAGGCACAGCTCTTGAGCGTATAGCCTAAAATCCTCAAGCCCTGCGAGTGCCTGGAGAACTTGAAGATGCGGAAGACCCGGAACACACGCAAGGTGACAAAGGCACCCGAGACATCATCGTTCTTGGGCACAAAAAGCCCAATGTAGTAGGGAAGGATCGCCACCACATCAATGAGGCTCATGACGCTCCGTAGGAAGCGGCAACGGCTGGGGGCAGCAAAGAGTCTCAGGAGGTATTCTCCCGTGAATATGAGTACACAGGCTGTGTCCATGCAGAAGAAGGCTGTAGGGAAGCGGTCACCACAGGACTGCTCTCTCGACAGCCGCCGTGAAGGGTTGCGGCACGGGATGGTCTCTACCACGTTGGCGATAACGGACACTGCGATGAAAAACCCGGTCACATAGTAGAAAACCAGGGCTGCAGTGCTTGTGTGTGGGTTCTCAAAGGCCCGCCAGAGCCGCTGCCGCAGGGAGCTACCCCCTGGCAGAGCGGGGCCATCCCCAGTCTGCTCAGCCTCCTCGTCCTCTGCCAGGCGTTCAGCGTTCTCTTTCTTGCGGTCCCGGTACTCTTCAAGGCAGCAGTCGCCCACTAGCTCGGGCACCAGGCCATAGAAGGCCAGCTCTTCATCAAAGGCCTGTATGCACTCCTGCCTGGGGCAGTGCAGTCGGCCCGTGCGGTAGAAGTTCAGCACGTGCCGGAACATGTCCGGATCACGATCAAAGAAGTACTCGCCAGAGTCAGCATCATAGAAGAACTCCTTCTCAGAACTGCCCAGCAGCGTGTCTGGGTAGCGATCTAACGTGTTCTTCCAGGTCTCAAAGCGCCGGCCGCTCACATTCACCACCAGAACTTCATCCCCTCGAGATGCCTTCACCCCTGGCGCCGGGGGCAGGGGCTGTTGGGCCAGGGGCAGCCAGCCCACCGCAGCGGCCCGTGCAAACGGTAGCCATGTGGCCACGCCTGCTGCCATCCTGCGGCTCCCCAGGCCCACGGAGAATGGGGGACTGGTATTTAGGAGAATGTGGCTGTCTCCAGGATGGTGGAGACTTGGAGAGGCCCTGGGCCACTGGGACAAGGAAATTGGGGGGTGTCCAGAGAGGCCAAGAGGAACTAGGAGGAGGAACTAGAGAGATGGGCAGGAGTTTCAGAGGCATTAAGAGGTTCTAGGAGGGACCTGGGTGATGTCCTAAGGGACTGAAAAAGGACTGCAGCCAGAGGAGCCAACAAAGATCCTCAGGTTGCGAGATAGATGATCCTACAGGAGTCAGCATGTGCCTGAAGATGTCCGGGGGTTAGAGGGATGAAGAAACTGGGGTGTTGTCTACACTTTTGAGTTCTCAGGGAAGGAAGAAAGGGCCAGAACCGCTTAGCAGATCTGGAAAGGAGACTAGGGCATCCAGGGGGGTGCAGATACTTGAAAGAGGCTGGGGCTAGACTCTAGACTGAGTAGGAACAGGGAGGAGGGTTGCCCACACTTTCAAGACTGTGTGGGGATAAGGGGTTTGGAAGTCCCTCATAGATCTGAAACAGGGGCTGGTACATCTCAGGGGTGACTATACAGCCAGGAGGTTGTACATCAGCTGAAAAGTGTTGGGAGTGCCTAATTCTGTGAGAATACCCTGGGGGTGCTGTCTGTGCTCTAGAGGAGTTCTGGGCAAAGTGGGAAAGGTAAGGGCCCCTAGTAAGGTGAAGAGGGGAGTGGAGTGGTTAAAAGGGTAGATATGGGGCTGGGTTATTTTTGAAGAGGCTAGGAGATACCTGGGGAGCATCTAGAGGGACCGAGGAAGCTTGGTTCACCCTCTGAAGAGTACTAAGGAGAAGGAAAAAAGGGGCCTGGGGAATCCCTAGGGGTAGGGTTTAACTGGACCAAAGTTGAACACAGACCCTGTGCACCCAGGGAATCTCAAAAGACTAAGAGGAAAGGGGTTTCCCAACAAATGGGAGGGAGGGAGTGGGGTTCTGAAAGGAAACTGGGTGTGTCTTCAGGAAGGGGGCTTTTGGACCAAGCAGGAGGCTGGTGGGGGAGGCCAGGAGAAGGTAGGATGGGAGAAGGCTGGGTCCCACCGAAGGGGGCAGGTCTGGGGAAACCACACCCCAAGGGGCTGGAGGTGTGTGTTGGGCAGCAGCAGTAGCGGCAGCGACAGCGGCGGAGGAAAAGCAGCAGCCACAGCCAGGCCTGAGAGGGGAGGTGGCACAGGCGGGGGAGGGGGTTGCGTCCTTAGAAGGGCAAGGTCCAGAGAGACCCCTAGGGACTGTCCCAGGATGGGCTAGGGCATGGGGGATAGACCAAGGAAGGACAAGGACAGTGCTATTGGTGGGTCCCTCCCCTTCCCCATAGGGCCGTCCTCACCTGTGTCCCCACTGCAGCAGCAGCAACAGCGGTGGGGCTAGGGGTACACCGGAGCGGAGCTGCCTGACCCCTCTGCAGTGCTGCTGGAGTTCTCCTCCTCCTCCTCCTGCTCTCTCCCCGCCCCTCTATGCTTGCCGGGAGATGGAGGCTGGGAGGGGCCTCGTAGCTCCCAGAGCCCCCTCCCCTAGGACAACCTAAGAGGGACCCTGGGGAGACTCCGCCTCCTACAAAGCTGGTTGGGCCTCAGTCGCGTCATCTGGAAAATGGGGGTGGCAGGGAGCATTGCCAGTTCTCCCCACCTCCTTCCTGGACTCCCCCCTTCTTCCTGCCCAGCTCCTACCCTCTCTGCCCCTAGGGGCCCCCACCCCCACCTGCCTGAATCAGCAGCACTTAGCAGATCCGATCGATGGAGAGGCATCTGTTAATGGCCCCAGAGCGGAGTGCCATGGGGAATGATGCAGCGCTGTCCCCTCCCTGCCCCCCAGGCTGTGGAGGGCAGAAGCTGGGTTGGGGGCTGTTATTGGTTGTGCACGCAGACAGGGAGTGTACTTCTATAGTTGACCAGGTCTTCAAAGCTCCCCCCCCCGGGGGGGGCAATGCATGTTAAAACCCAGTTTTAACAATCACCATTGTGGGACTGGAATGTGACTTCCAGTTTTTGCTTATGAGGTAAGTGGGGTGCAGATAGGGATAACCCAGGTCCACACACTACCCTGGAAGTCCCTCCACCAGGGAGGGGCACAGGTTCCCTTATCTGTCTACATTCAGGGGACAAATCACAACTCCTCCCCTTGAGGGCTGTACACCTGGGTGGCAGACACATGGCAGGTGTGGGTCAGTTCAAACACATTTTGCCACTGACTTGTGTCCTTGAGCAAGTGACTTGTATTGTTTCCTCAGTTAGAGAATTATCCCAACCCCAAAGGGTCATTTTGAGAATATATGAAGTGTGAAAGGGAATGGCACAGGACCTGGCACACAAATGTTCCTTAAGGTGTGTGGTGATCCACCCACAAGATGGGTGGATGAAGGTAAGACAAAAGGGCGCAATATTATACAACCAGGTCTAGCCTTTCACTCTATTTGTTCACTCATCACTCCTGACTCATCCATCCTTCCCTCTACATGCACATGCACCCTCTCTCTCTCCCCACTGCCTGCAGAAGCAACCACTCTCCCATCTTCCCACCCACCTACCCATCCATTTGGTCACTGATCTTACACTCACCCATTTCTACATTCACCTCATCCATGTAACCATTCCCCAACCTATCCGTTGGTATCAATGTCCTCCACTCACCTATGTGGCTACCTCTTCATCCCCACTACCCACCATTTATGCCCCTACTCTTTACCCTTCCCATTCATTAATTTATCCATCTGTACATTCCTTTATTCATCCAATTTACTTCCATAAATTCACCCATCAAACCAAATTCACTCACCTACTTATTTGTCCACACATCCTTACATTTACATCTCTTTATCCATCCTCTATCCACTTACAGATCCATCTACCCATTTATTCATCCAACCACCTATCCATCCATGCTCATTCATTTCCCAGTGTATCCATCATCAATCCATGAAACCTTTCCCTTATTTATCCATCAGACCATCCAGCCACTTAGATCCTCCCATCTCTCCACTCATCCACACCCAAATCCACCCACACATATTGGCAGACATTTCTCTTTTGCTCCATTTGAGGTTGATCAGGAAACAGGTTAAAGTGCAGGTGGAGAAATGAGACTAAAGTTGCAAAGACCTTCCTCTTCATTCCAATGGAGGGACCCTCTCAGCCCCAGCACATCCCTCTTGATTGAAAAAAATGAGAACAGTCAGTCAGTGGGTGGGCCTGTCTGGCCAGATGGTATTTTGGCTGCACAGCTTTTATACGCACACACACACATATGATGCTAGAACGCAGAACACAGACCGTGCCCCCACCCAACATCCCAAACCCCAAATGCAGAATAGCCAGGCTTCCAGACATAAATTAAAAAATAAAATTAAAAAAGAATTGGTCTCTGGGAGAGCTCATGCAGAGATGAAGGCAGAAGACCCTGGGAACCAGGGCTGAGAAGAGGGAGAAGAAATCCCTGCACTTTCCCTTCAGATGCCTAGTTCCCAAAGGGCCTCTGCCCTAAGATGGGGCCATTGACACCAGCCACCAGGCCTCTTGCCACTTTAATGTCCAGCCTCCCGAACTACTAATTTTGGTGTCAGCCAGTTCTCCCCCACAGCCCAAGGGAATGGCATCCTAGGGGGAGTGGGGGCAGTCTGCAGATCTTTAGTTGGCTTCTTCCGGCTCTAGGTCTGGGTCAGGAGACCCCACACACTCCTTGCTGAGCCGCACAATTTCCTGGGACAGAACTTCCATGTCCTAAGAAACAAACAAGAGGTCAGGGGCCAGAGTAGAGAATAGGGGCATATCCCTCACCAAACCTGGGTGCCACCTATAATCTTCTTGGCCCACTAGTTGATGTCCAGTGGGGACTGGCTTGGGACAGGAAGGTACTCAGAGCTCACAAAAGCCCCAACAAAGGGATGGGCACAAAGTTTTAAAGTTGCATGAGCAGTTTCTAGAGCTAAGGAGATAGGGTGGGTCATATGTTATGGTTACCCTTGCCACCTTCTCTTCTACTAAATGTGAGCTTGCTTCTCCAAGGCAAGAGGCAGAGGTGAGTCCTTTATGACTCCCCCACAGAAAGGGGAGTATTTGGATAGCAGGGTGGGCAAACACATGTATGGGTGGACACATTAGATTTATGGAAAGCAAGGGGCTGGGGAGATGGCTCAGTAGAATAAGCGCTTCCCTGGCAAGCGCATGGGCCTGAGTTCAATCCCCAGTTCCGTCAAAAAAAAAAAAAGATTATGGAAAGCAAATAGGTACATAAATGAACTGTATAGAGGACAGAGGGAAGACAACAGGTAGATAGGGCACAGGTTGGGTGGATGAAAGGTAAGACAAAGGGTGACTGAAGAACAGCTGAGAGAATGGAATGATCAGAAAATGGAGGGGCCTGGCCCTAGCTCAGGCCTTTAAGTGGCTGCTTCCACAAAGCTGTCAGCCTCAGGTTGCTGGAGTTCGAACCTCACACCTCTCCCGCTGGCCAAAAGTGCCCTGAAGGCATTCGAGCAACAACAACAACAAAAAAAAATGGGTAGAGGACTTGGGGGAGATGATTTGATGGGTATGTAATGGTAGGTAGATGGACAGATGGGTAGATGATTGAGTGATTTTATGTATGAATGGACAAGTGAGTGGGTATAAGGGCAAAGGGAAGAGTAAAACCTAAGATGATAATAAGCTGACAGAAAGATGGAAGATGAGTGTGTGAAAAGCTGGTAGATAAATAGATGGAGGGATGACTGGGTGGACAAAGGCTGGGGGACTGACAAATGACCCATGGGCTGTGTGGCTGGAGAGGAAGGTGGCTGCATGGACAGATGGGTAGGCTGGTAGGCCACACTCGCCTTATGCAAGTGCATATTCTTGGTGAGCTGCTCCTCCAGCATGTTTTGCAGCTTCTTGTTCATCTCCCGAAGGTTCTCGTCGCCTGGCTTCACTAGGTCTCTCAGGACGCTGCCCAGCCCGCTGCGGTCTGTGTGGCCTGCTGCCACAGACACATCTGCAAGGGCCCAGGCTGAGCACCACCCCCTCGGCAGAGCCAGAGGAGACGGGCAGAGCCAGAGGAGAAGAGGGAAACAAAGCAGGAGAGGGGGGAGAGAAGCCACGTTATGTAGGGGGTAGAGGCTTCAACATGTGAAACCCAGCTGTATCCCTTACTACCTATACAACCCTAAGAAATAGGCACAATGTCTAACTCAATACCTTGGGCTGAAAAATACACATGACTGGATACAAAGCACACAGCACACACTGAATTCTCAGTACATGTCAGTGGATATTGTTCAGATTTTTTTTTTCTCAGAGCTGAGGATTGAACTCAGGCCCTTGTGCTTGCCAGGCAAGCACTATTATTCAGATTAATAAAGAAAAATCTGAGAGAGATGGTTTGAAGGAAAAGCACAAATGGAGAGAGAAAAAGGAAGATAATGTGGAAGATGGTTAGGAGAGGAAGAGATCAGGGAAAAGTGATAAGGACCGCAAAAGGGATAAAGATACAAGAAACAAAAATACACAGAGAACCATACAGCCAGAAAGGGTAAAAGAAAAAGACAGGAAAAAGAGACACAAGAAAACAGAGGGAGAAAGAGGAAGAGGGGGAGAGAAAGAGGAGGAATAAAAAAGATAGAGAGGGTCAGGGAAGCCACTAGAGAATGGAGCAGAGAGGACAGAGCCACAGAGAGGAAGAGAAAGTGAGATAAAGACAGAGCTTCCCTGCTTGTCCATTCAGGGGCTGTGGGCTTGTCAGCAGCTTTGGTGAGTTCCAAGAGGAGAAAACCCACAGTGCACAACCATGGAAGGAGGGCAGGTTAAGGCAGGTTGAGGGCTGGGGAGGGGGCACTGACCAATCCGGCTGTCCATGACATAGGTCTCAATAATGGCGCTCTTCCGGCAAAGGTCTTCTGCCATGGAGGCACTGCTCACCTCCAGGTGTTTTACCTGCAAGATGGCCCAGCCCACTTCAGGCCTCTCAACTATACATGTTCACCCATGGCGAAGGGCCCAGACAGACCCCCACCTCACCACCCACCGGAGCACATCAAGTGGGGCTGAGCAGGTGGGCAGACAGCACCTTCTCTTCTAGCATCCATTTCTCCTGCTGCGTCTCTGCCAGTCGCTGAAAGAGCTCAGCCACTTCCTCATCTGACAGCTCTGCTGGGCGAGGGGCCTGGGCCTGAGGACTGCTAGATGAGGACTGCAAGAAAGAGGAGAGAGGGACCAGCCCCTGGCTCAGCACAGCCTACCCCAGCTAGGAAAAGGGGGCAGGAGGGATGTAGGAGAGCTGGGGTCCTATGGCTGGTGGCCAGTTCTCACACCCTTACAGAAAAATCAACAAAGTTGGACATTTGCTGTAGGACAACTGAGCTCTTCTATTCCACAAGTCAGTGTCAAGGGGTAAAAAGGGACAATGAAAGACACAGGGACAGAAAACAACCATGTGCAACATCTCCTCTGAAACCAAATGT